AGGAAGATGATAAAAGGAAGCACAACTCTGATTCTTTGAGACAGCACCTTTGCAATGATTTTATACAGGCTATTAACTAGGCTGATTGGTCTAAAATCCTTTGAGTGGTTTGCTTCCGCATTCTTTGGGATCAAAGCAATAAAAGTTAGTTCATTTCAGGATTTATTACCCCTCTTCTAAAACATTCATTGAAAACCCTGAATAAGTCTTCTTTTAAAAAAATCCCAACAGTCTTGATAGAAAGCCATTGTGAACCCATCCAGCCCTAGTGTTTTAGCTCTATCCATCGAGAAAACTGCCTCCTTAACAAACCCCAACAGTCTTCATTTATTATTTTTTTAAAGGTAACAGAAATGTTTTATTGATTGTAATTGCAAAATATGTTCAGAAATTATGTATAAATTTGGCCAGCACCACTGCCCAATTCCTTTTCAATTTACTTTGTCATATTTACATACAAACATCACTTGTGAATCCCCAACACAAATGTTCCTAATTTACCCCTTGTCTTGCAAGTGCATCAGTTCAAAACAGTATTTCTTCTATGGAGAATACGTGGAGAATGCATGGATGTCTTTAAGATATAATAAATTAAGGGAATAAAGCCACTGGAATAAGCACTAATAGTTTCTGTAGGACTCAATAGATAGGAGTGAAGGAATCAGCATTTTTGTCAGGGATCAGCACCAAAACAAATTGAAATTTCTTCTCTCATAATCAGCATTTTCATGATATCTATTTGACATTTATCATATATTGAAAATATCTCATCTCAATCTTAGGATGCTCTAAGTATTTATACACTCAACAAATTTTCTAGAATTAAATCGAATCTTGGTGAGAAGTTAATAACTGTATTACCCAGATACGGCAAGGACATTGCTGAATACAGTATCCAGTACTGCACGGAATCTTCTAAATGAAAGACGTGTCCATTTCAGACATGTATTGGAATCTGACACTATATGGACTCTTAAGGACACTTCTATACAGCATTCCTTTTTTATCTCCTAGCTTATCTGACATAAATGAACTACTAATGTATGAAATGAATGCCATAAAGACAACATTTTAGACCCTTTTTTGTAGGTACATAATGTTAGAGGCAAGATCTTTTGGCAAACTGTCATTCACGCTGTAATGTGGAGTGTATGCGAAGAAGGAAACAACTGTATCATTGATAACATGGCCAGATTTCAGAAGGAGTTGATTTCCCATAGTACTCACGGGTGCTTTTTTGTGGTTTACTACATCTGAGCACTTTAAAGGTATTTCGGTCAATGACCTTCATAGAAACGTTGAGAACTTTTTGTTCTCTTCTCCCAGTCCTTTTGTTTTGATAAGTAAATGGCAAAAATTTTATTAAATGAGAAAAAATTACATATCAGGGTGATGAGACAGCAACCGAAAACAAAGAAAAACAAAAGAGCCTACTACCAAATTAGATAACAGGCTCTACATTACATATTTGATATCCCAAAATCTCTCCTAACTCACTCCCAAAATCCTCCTTTTTTGATGACTGAATTCAAGAAGAATCAACACCCATTCTACCACAGTCCTCCCCAAAGGTTTTAGCATCAGAGAAGAAGGGATGTTGAGTCTTAATTTTGATGGGAGTGCTTTTGGAAATCCAGGGGGCTAGCGTTGACTGAGAGAGGTAGTGGTGCTTGGTCGAAAATCTCACTGTCTGTAGAAGAGGCAAAATGGATGGGAGATTTTCTTCGAGAGGCGATCAAAGATCAAAAGAGGTTGGTAAAGGAATGAAAGCACGCCTGCAGAGGGAAGGTGCTTCTTATTCAACTAAACAAAAACAGATGAGGAAGGTTCATTCGTTTAAGATATTGGGAACTTGCTCAAAAACTTAGAACCATTTGCATTCCTGAAGAAGTAGGGAAATCAGGTTGGAAAACTTTTGCTTAAGTATTAAACTTATTTCTTCCAAGTCCTGGATTGCCAACCTCCGAAGCTCCCTTACCAGGGGCCTTTCCATCCTTACTGGCAACAACGAGCAGAGTTGTTAAGGCTGGCGGTTCAGCCCATATATCCATAGCTAATCAAGTGAGACCCTTCGGCAAATGGAAAAATGCTTTTGTGTGCTCCAAAGCCGACGACCTAACTTGGAACGAAATCGAGCTAGGAATTTCAGCTAACTTTCATTCCCCAGAACTCATACATCTCCACCCTTTCTCCCGAAACAGAGCAGTGGGTTTTGCCCCGTCCAAAGACCTAGTCTCTGTTTAAGTGAGGTTGGAGAAGATTCACGTTTATGGCAGGTGGGTGAAGATCGATTGGTGGTGGCCAACTGTTAACACAGTCCCTTCTGAATTGACGTTTGATGATTGGGTCTTAGTCCACGGCCTCCCCGTTCCATCTTTGGTCGGAGGAGGTGTTTTCCTTGATAGGAAGCTTATGTGGAGGGCTGGAAGAAATTGACCCCAAAACCAAAGACTGGTCAGAGCTGAACTTTGCTCGTCTGAAGGTGAAAAACCGAGGAGTTCACTCCATCCCTCGATCGATACCAAACCTAGACAGAAATGTCTGGTTTTTTGCCATGATTGTAGTAGAGAAGAAAGCTGAATCATCTTCCCCATCCACCAAGTCAACTCGGAGCAACAACTCTCGAACACATGGCACCCTTGTAGCCTTGGATCAGCCCGTGACCAATGCAGGAAGGTTTCATGCCAAGGATGACAAAAAGTTGGCAGTTATTGCAGAGGCATGTAAAGCAAGGAAGAAGCAAAACCTTTCCATGCCAGGTAACTGTAAAGGAAGATGGGAGAAGTTCTTTTCTAAGAGACATAAAGGGAAAGGTTTTCAAATTTCGAATGAAACCTTGGCCTGTGCTTCAAAGCTCTCTTCAGAGCTTCTTTTTTCGGACCCAGGTGTTACTGGTACTGACTGGTTACCCAAATCCGACCCAGGTAAGCAACCCGTCAAACCATCGGGCCGTCATTCACCTTTCGGCCAGTGAGAAGGCCAATTCAGGCTAAGCCCTCCATTGACACCAACCTTTAGTGAACAAAACATCCCTGTAACTCCTCCAAGTCTCAATGCTCGCAGAAAGGAAGTCCAACGACCCCCAACACCATTGCAAAGTTCGATCCCAAGCTCCTCTAGAGAAGATGAATCCGAATCGGATGAAGACCTAAGCACCTACAGGACAGAATCAGAGATGGATACTCAGGAGATAGCCGTCAATAGATCCAAAGTCCTCTTTGCAGAAAGAGAAGTGTGGGGAAGTGTAGAACTGTTGGAAGAAGTTCATTTGGTAGATCCAAATTACGGGGATCAATCCGCCAATAAAAGCTTTGAGGCTGGACGAGGAAGAAACTTACCGTACAACCAATTCACAAATCTCTCTAACTCTACTTCCTTTTCAAATCTAGAGGTTTCTTCTTGCTTATGTCATTATCGTGATTCACCTTCTCATTGCCACCCTTGCTGCCCTTGTGTTCCAGGTTCAGGTGAACATCTATCCCAACCAATGGCTTTCCCAAACAAAGGTGATTTTGTGGAGGTTTTGGGTTCAACTTCAGCGCCCAAGGACTTTGTTAGTCGACCTAGGAAGGAACAGAACGATGATGAAGTCACAGAGATGGCCAAAAAACTAGGTCTCCAGCATTGTGATACCAACGAGGCCTCTGGTAAAGAATGGAACAACACAAGAGGTAAGGGAGTTGCCGGGAGATATCAAGAACAAAGAAAAAGTCGAAAAAGGGACCAAGTAGGGAACTAAAGAGGTTAAAGTGGGGTAATAGCTGATCAAAATATGGACAGTGCAGGAGAAGGGAGTAGAAGATTAGGTAAGGGTAAGACCAAACAGAGTTTGAGATGAAGATCTTGAGCTGGATTGTGAGGGGGTTGGGTGGGGGAGTTAAGAGAAGCTTAGTAAAAGACACCCTTTGAAAAGAGAATCCTGACACTATTCTATTACAAGAAACCAAAAAAGAAGAGGTGGACAGGAAGTTAATCAGAGCAATCTGGGGTATAAGAGGCAGAAAATGGACTGCCCTCCCAGCCATAGGCACTTCAGGAGGTGTCCTTGTAGTGTGGAGAGAAGACGTGGTTTCAGGAGTGGAAGTTAATAGAGGCAAATTCTCCCTTTCAATACTTGTCACAAACAAGGCAAATGAGTTCACCTGGATTTAACAGCAGTTTATGGCCATGATGCTCCATCGAATAGGAGTAGATTTTGGAAGAGCTGGATTCCTTGCATGAACACGATGAGTTTCCCTGGTGCGTGGGAGGAGACTTCAATGTCACAAGATTCAGTCATGAACACTCCAATGGGAAGAGGGTAAATAGAAGTATGAGGGAGTTCTCCAACTTCATTCCAGACACAGGCTGCACGACCTCCCCCTAAGGAATGGTAATTTTACTTGGTCGAACATGCAGGAGAATGCCTTAAGTTGTAGGCTTGACAGATTTTTAGGCCATGTTTGGTTCAACTCTCATTCTTTCTCACTCTTACACAAGATGAAATTCTAAAATGGACAAGAATGGGTAAAAATAGGCAGAATGGGAAAATATTGCTATGAACCAAACGCTTTTTTTCCTAAAAATTAAATTTTACAGACTGACAAGTGCCCTTTATAAAAGTGCTTTGATAAAAGCATAGTTGTCAAGGTGACGCCTAGGTGCCCTTTTATTGTGTCTTCAATGGATGTAAACTTTTATTGGGTCCCTATAGAGTTAATTCTATAGCTGACAGGTTAGCTAAATTTCATGCTCACTTAGATGTAATGTATTGTGATAGCTCTTGCAGGGCTTCCCTGCTCCTTTGACTTGTACATTTTTCTTATGTGCTCTTTTTCTTTTGTATGATATATTCAGTTGGTTTCTCTCAAAAGGGGGGGGGAGAACGTAGCTGCTATAACCATATCTTGAGGAAGACTACATGAGTTCTGAACACAGGAAAAGTGTAGAAATCTATATGTAGGTTATTCAAAAATATATTCTTATACAAACTTACAAATGAGAGAAGTCATCAAGCTTACCCATCCTGTGGAGAATAAAATCCAAGTGGTCTCAAATTATCAGTTAGATCTGCAACTTTAGCTCCTGTATCATCAAACAGCTCAAGCCACATTGAATCAACAGAAGTACCACATTTTTTCCATAACTTCTCTTTCACAGATTCCACAGTCATCTGAAAACAGTGGGTATGGATACCAGATGTTAGCATAAACAACAGTTATGTACAAAGACTTCAACTACTATATTTAAAAAGGAGGGAGAATCAATGAAGACACACTCTCAACATAGTTCAAACAGCATGCAAAAGCCATACTTTCACAGATTCCACTGATGAAACTGTTGATAATAACAGAAATGTGAATGGCCCATTTAGGCCCATTAAACTAGTGTATAACCGGGGACCTCACAAGATGGCCCATTATGGCTAAAGAGGGGTAGCCGACATCTATAAATAGCCCATGAAACAATGAGAAAGGCATCGAGCCATTTCAGAGTCTCTCTCTCTCTTCTACCGACACTGATCTGGTCTGCGGCTGAAAGAATGGTAGGATCCATCTAATGGACGCCAAAAAGATTGCGGAATGGGTGGGCGAATTTCAAAAATTTTCCTACCTTCTCCCAACTGGGAATCGCATTCCCTAAATTTAGAATACAATATTCAAGGATCCTACTT